TCAAAGCTCACCCAAACAAAGAGCTCAATTCTCATTCAAGCGAAGAGCTCTAAGCTCACTCATGTCAAAATTCAAAATGCATTCTTGCGCAAAAACGGGAACCAAATTACCCATTCAAGCCGCTTGGGCCCCATCCAATAGTAATTTAGAAAAATTGCTCGTTCGATCAAAATCGGCTCAACTCGTCGAAGAACAAAGCGTGATTATCACAAATCCGTTAGGCCAAAGCCTAAAATGATCAACGAAATGCTCAAGGGTCCTAAAGCACCCAAAAATTACCCATTAACTCGTAATAAAATCAGCGTCTTTCACGTAAAACACTTCAAAGCGACTCCCACGAGAGGGAAATAGTGAGTAGAAAACGACACAAGAACGATCCGAGTAACCAAAATTACTCGACAATATTAAATAAGCCCCTGAGGCACGCGAACTAAAAAGTCGTACGCTAGATCCATCTAAGGAAAACTGACAAGACAAAGAAGTTATCTTATAAGCCACGCATAAATTATTTGTCACAGGCACTCGTCAACACCTTCGCGGTTTCGTCAATTATCTCTCATTACGCATATATCCTTACATAATACTAAGAGCTCGAAGCTCAAAAGACCATGAGGCGAAAACATTGCCAAATAACGCGACTTCAGAACAGTTCGATCCATAACATGTCCTAAACTCGAGGGCCTCCTGTTGATACCCAATTTGGCTCTGATTAAATAAATGATAAATAAGAATACAGAAATACATAATAAATAAATGTGCAAGAAAAATAGGTACTTTAATTTATCGTCTATAGGCCGACCGGACCCCTCAGATGACAAGTCCGCCCGCTGCGGAGCCGGCCAAAATTCGAGGTGATCGACAGGTACGGATATCCTAAAGAAGTCGCCTCCGGAAGGACGTCACAATTGCCGAAAAGATGGACGCCAGCCGGAACCGTCAAGAGTCATAAGCGAGTCCTACGATAACCATCTCATATTAAATAATAGTGTATTATTTTTTATTTATTTATTCTCCCACTTGTAAAAAAGGGCTATATATATAAATGGATTTAG